TTTCCTGTGGGGGGAGAAAACCATGCCCATGGCTCATATTTTAGAATTTAAAGATAAATGAAACTGTTGTTTTTTGTCTTGTTTTGATTCCCAGGAAGGAAGTTTAAAAGATTTCTTCTTTCTTTTTTTCTTAATGAGCAGATATCATAATCATCTTTGTCCCAGCTGTGAGCCTGCCAGCGCTCCAAACAGATGGAGTACATTCATTAACTGGATCACCAGCAGAGCGTGCACACACACACACACACACACACACACGTACATCTTCTATCTTTGTGAGAACACTCATTGACATAATGTAGTGACTGAAATAATTATAATAAATGCCTAACCTCAACCGTTACCCTGAACTAAACCTAACTCTAGCCCTTTGAATTTGTGAGGACAAAATGTCCTCACTCCGTAAGGTTTAAACGAGTCCTCACAGAGATAGAGGTACAAGTACACGCACACACACACACACCTGTTGACAGTCATTGAGAGTGTGGCAAATGTTTAAGGCTACAATATTTTAAAACGGCATTTTAAAATAGAAACAATCTCCATCCGTTCACGTACACTGGGCATGTGTTAGCTGGTGTAAACAGGAAGTAGATTGTCTACTCTGCAGTTGATTAGTTGCAAAAAATACTCAGGGAAGAACAGGGAAGACAGCCGCAGTGTTGAAATGCTGAATTTAACTGATCAGCAGCTGCTAACAAAGACTACAAGGTCAGTAACACTTTCATTTTCCATGTTGCTTTCACCACTGGTAGTCCAGGCTGATGAGACCCAATCAGGAAGCGGCCGTGGGTGTCTATGTCATTGTTTCCAAAGGTTTCAGTTTTCACCCGTCCAGACTAAAACATAACCCCAGAGTTTTCAAACTAAAACAGGCCCAGCGAGTTTCTGAAAGTCTCTGTTTTAGGTGCTCTGGAGTAGTGTGGACGGGAGGCGAAAACATAGCAAAAGAGATATGTTTTAAAACTAAAATGTAGTCGTGTGGATGGAGCCTAAGTGAACAGACCCCACTCTGTTTCTTTGATCTGATTTAAATCATCATTTTGACGTTATACTGTGTTTCATTAAGAAAAGGTTCTTAGAAAAATTTGTGTTTATATCTGAAATGAAACAGTCATAGCAGAACTGACTTAAGAACTTAAGAATTAAATCTGCATTAGCATCAAAACATTTCAAACAATACTCAGCCGAGCTTTTACTATTATTGACAGGGACTGATGCTCAGTCCATTCACAGCAAGGCTGCTTTTATTTTCTCAGCTCCAAATACCTTACAAACAAACAAACCTGCACAAGGTCTCATTCACTATAATAGTTCTTACTTTTAAATTGCAGCTAAAAATGTATCAGTCTGTTACTCTGTTAGAGTTTTATTGAATCTTGGCCCTTTTTTTTTAGTTTTAGCCCAAATTCAAAATGTGTGTAAAACCAGGTTAAACTGTTAAACACAGACCTAACCACTGACTCAAATGTCCCCACTTTGCAAAGATGTCCTCCTAAACTTTGAGTCAGTCCTCACAAAGATAGAATTACGAGAGCATACAAACTGTCAACTGTCGTTGGTAGTTACAATTGGTTCGTCTGTAGGAAACACACTAAGATCTATACATCTCCTGCTGACGATGACAAAGACCCATGCTGCATGGTTACACACACACACACACACAGACTGCTTGTCTTGCAGTTAAATCCTCCTAAGTAAGCAGTATCACCAGTGTCTGCGTTCCACACATGAAGGTAGCATGAGATACAGCACGCAAATCTGCTGTAAGACGATGTAAAAACCTGCCGCCATTCACACACATTCACACTACTCACTGTATAAAGTCCACTGAGTGACGTCAGGGGTAGATCCATTCTTGCTCGTAGCTCCAGTTTAACAGAATTTTCTTGTCTCCATGCACTCATCCTGCAGACAAACACCACATTCAAACTAATATATTCAAAACTAAAATAGAAACAAAAATATATTTACTTGCAGAATTTGGATTCCACCACATTTAAAGTGTCAGAGGAAAGACACTGGTAAAAATGTTCTGTCTTGATGAAGCTTGAAGATTTTGAAGTTTCACCCCAACTGAATGTGGGAAAAAAATGAAGTTTGGTAACATGACACACACACACACACACAGACACACACAGACACAGACACAGACACAGACACAGACACAGACACAGACACACACACACACATACGATGCTTTAGCTAGAGGAGAAAAAAAAATCTGGTTTCAACCTAGAAAATCAGCAGATAAGACCAGTGATATAATCTCAGTTCTGCTAAATGTTTAGTGACAATATTTTTCACGTTCATTACCACAGTTTGGGGAAAATGATGGATGGTTTTAAAAAGACAAATATTAAATTCCAATCTGTGTTGAACTCCATGAGGAAAAGAAATAAAACAGATTAAAAGTCATACATGAAAGAAATAAAAAAACTTCAGTCAAATGAGATTATGATGAGCCGTCAATCAATCTCTACTCTGAGACGTCACAAAATGATCTAGAAAGTTCAAATGTTTCATACAATTCATTTTATTTACATCTTCAAACACAGGCAACAACATTCGAATGGATGCAATATCAGTTTTTCTACTAAAGGTGAAACGTTTAGATGGCAGCTGAATTACCAAGTTCCCTTTTCAATTATTTTGTCAAACCTATTAAAGCCTTAAGAATGTCAACATCATCATCATCATCATCATGGGCTGACATATTCCCCTGATAAAGTCAGACATTTGGGTGTTAGTCTCTCATGCAGTTCTGACAAATGACTGAATCAATGAAAAGAGCAGTTGTGATGTAATGTGTTACCTGAAATGCTTCAGTCACTTAAAACACAATAAATCAGGCAGCACCGTCTTTAAGATGTAACATGACATAATTGACGTAAATTGAAGTAAAAAAGTAAAAAACTCAGTCAGAAAGGATCAAACGTCACCTCACACTTCTTTTTCAGATATATTTTTTCATGTTTTAGCCTCTTTAGTATGTATCAGATACACTTAACATTGTTTTTTTAAAGCTCACATATTTTTTAGAGCCTGTGTGACGTAAACTCCATCATCTGCCCATGTCTGCAAACAGACTGAACCTTTGCGTGGACAGGTCTGCCTCTGCAAACAGGCAGAAAAGTGGTAAAGGCAGAAAAGTGTTTGTGTCCGTTCCTTTGCAAAACAACTTGCAGAGACATGAAACTAACCTGCAGATACATCATTTATCATGTGTACGCTTTGATTTTGGCCAAGGTGAAGTTATTGTTCTTTGGAAAAGCAGTGCAGCCTTTCTCAAACACAGCTGCATTTTAAATGGATCACCACGCACCAATAACACAACTCTGACTGCCACAAGCAACAGAACAGAAACTGATGGATTATCTCTGCAGAAAGATTCACGTCTCTGCAACAGGATCTTCATAGAAGTGGAATGTCTGACAGTTGACGAGCAAAACCACCTTCATAAATCTGAAGCAGTGATGTTCAGTGTGTATGATTTGTAGTTTGGGACAAAAAGCATGAAAAAAAAACAACAAACCACAAAAAAACAGACAAGAATTTTTTGCACTGTGAATATACAACTTGTTACGAAACATCTTTATGAATTACAAATACAAGTGCTATCATGGTGAGGCGGGACAGTCAGATATCATTTAAATACCTCATCACTTTGACATGAACGGCAGTCAAACAAACCTACACACAGTCATTTTGAGAGAAGTCGTGAAGCAGAAATGTTTTAGATTAGCTTTAGCTACATTAGCACAGATAGCAGTTTAAAGATATAACCCTATGTCATAGCCATCGGACCCTGCTCTGTTCAATTTTTATACAATAATGTGTCATAAATGTCGTCAGGATGTGACTGTTGGCTTCACCTCTCTACAGTGCTACTGCTACGTTTCTACAATTGCATGAAATCAGGAAATAAACAACCCGGCTGCTCCGACATCAGGAGAAGACATGATCTGATTTCTTGTGTCTATGATATTTATGATTCATCTTCAAAACACACTCAGCCCTCACTTCATGAAACATGTGCTTAAACTGTGATCACTTCCAGCTGCTCTTCTCCGTGCTAACTGACTGTCAGTGTTAGCCTAGCGACTGCTGTAAGAACGGGCTCTTATGTCTAACAATTAAAGCTCATCTATGTACGGTGGCCCTGAAAGCTCATATTCAAATAGACAAAACACAAATACATTCAGAAAACATCTTCATCAGTTTGACAACACATGTGCTGCAAATACTCACAACACAAAAGAAGTGTTTCCAGGGGGACACTAAAAAGTGATGCACCTGCTTGGACGTGTGGAAACCCGTGTCCCGTGGAAACACTTCTGTCTTGTTGTGTGTATCTGCAGCACGTTCACTGTCAAATTGCTGAAAATTTGTCTGTTCTGTATTTGCTTGTGTTTTGTCTGTTTGCATGTGTTTTCTTAAGTTGCGGTGCTTTGAGCTTTCAGGGCCACCGTACTTATGTTTCCTTTGTGGCTTTTCTAAACTTTCACATTGAAATTACAACCAACAAAATCAGATTTTAACACAACATTAGTGTGAACATTCAACCAGCTAATGCTACAATAATGTACTGTAGCATCAGTCTGGTAAAATAAGGCAGTTATGAATGTTTTCACTGACTTTCAGAGGTACATAAAAATATATCACAACATATTACAACTTCCTGTTCACACTCACTCTGCTTCAGTTATGTTAAATAGTTTAAGCAGGGAGCTCTTAGATTTCTCTGCCCTGGGATAACTAACGGCATAACTGAGACTTTTAAAGATAAAGCTGGAAGTGACGGGGACAAGATCTTGGGTGGGGAGCAACATAATAAATTGATCTTATTTGTTAGGATCAAACAAAGCATGTGGTTGTATTTCTTGGTGGCATTAGGGATCATAGCCTTGTTTCCAGCTTTCAGAAGTTTAACCCCGAGTTCCTATTCTGAAACTGTATGGTTCATTGAAATGAGCACATTTTCTGAGATTATATGAGCTGTGAACCTCTGTCCAGTAGAGCCTGAGGAAAGTGCTTTGTCCAAACTCTGTCCATGAGAGTCTCTGGGCGGTCCTCAGGTAGGCGGGGGCCCGTTGACGTATCTCAGCGCCAGGTGAAAGTTACGTGGCATCCTGTTGCTGGATTGGCACGGTGATTCCAGGACGATCCAGATCAGACAGGCCAGCAGGGTCAGAGCTGTAGCCAGGAGGAGGTAGAGATGCAGGGAGGAGGAGGCGGCCCCGTTGCTGGAGGTCACACTGTGAAGGAGGAGGAGGTGTTAGTGTCTGTCTTTGGAGATTAAAATTCTGGCAATGTTAAGACCAACTGTCTTGTCCGTTACTGAAGCTAGAAAATCTACATCTATCCAGCTCGAGTAAACCAACTGTGTCAACACAACTCAGTGTAGAGGGCTAACAGCTTTTTCTACAGAATGTCACATGTTCCTCTGTTCTCCACCTGCTTTCAGCCGGGGTGGGTGGATCGATCCACCAAAATATCGATATTGTAGTGGCCCAGGTTCAAATCCAGCCTGGTGCGTTTGCTGCATCTCTCTCTCTCTCTCTCTCTCTCTCTCTCAAAAATGAATGCAGTGATGGTTGCATGAAAGAGGAGTACTGCCATCCATGTAGTACTTTTCTTTACAAAGTGATGCATGAATGAATGAAGCCACTTCTTGTTCTGCTTCACTTGCTACCACACGCTTCAGTTGGGAATCAAACCCAGGTCTCACAGGTAGCAGGTATAAATTCTACCAGCATTAAAATGACTGATAACCTTTGGCAAATCATTTAGTAGGCATTATAATGTATTAATATTTAGCCTATTGATGATGCATACATAATCATAAATTATGACAGTGCTCTCCCCTACATGGAAATACATAAGTCGCTGTTAATAATAAAAAACTATTGATATCAGAAATTCTGGCTCTGTGTTCCTTGGTATCAGATCGAAAAGAGTGGTGGTATCAACCACCCCTAGCTTTTAGGACAACTTCCTGGATATCAAATCCAAATTCCAGATGTTGGAGGCAGTGCTGCTGGTTTTACAATATTTAGTTGATGTGATGACACAACAGTGACCACCATTTCAAAACTGCACCTGTATTTAGCAGTCAACCATTCATTCATTCATTCATTCATTCATTCATTAGCCATACTGCTTTTACTTTTAGGGTCACGGTAGGGGCTGGAGCCAATCCCAGCTGACATTGGCAAGGGCAGGGTTCACCCTGGACAGATCGCCAATCCATTACATTGCTGACCCTTCATGCCCCCATTCATGCCTACAGGCAATTTAGAGTCTCCAATTAAATTAACATGCACGTCTTTGGACTGTGGGAGAAAGCTGGAGGAAACTCACAAAGACCACCAATCCTTTTAACCCTTGTGTTGTCTTCGGGTCAAATGACCCGCCACTGTGTTTAACAGCAGAGAAAACTCCCTAAATGATCTTTTTTCAACTTGAAATTCGATGACTTTTCCTAGAGTGAGCCCAACATTAGGAAAAGTGAAATATTGCCTTTATTTCTATTTCCATGTAAGCTGTACACCACCAGGGTACAAAGATTGTCTTCGGGTCATTTTTGACCCGGCAGTTAAAATCACAGTTACAGAGTCAGTTACACACTTAAAAAAACAACACACACACACACACACACACACACACACACACACACAAGCAATTGAGTTTGTGTCCTACTGATTAATCTTAGACAGAACTACAACTTTCTCATGCAGGTGCAGCATCATCTTTCCACGACCCCAGACATGACTCAAGTTCAAACAATTTCAGACAAAAAATAAAGATTTCTTGAAAGAATTGTTCACTAATACCTCGACATTCAGAGGCTGGAAAGGTGCTGCAGATGACAGTACCCCGAGTTCTCTCTGTGCTGAAGCCATGAGTGCACGTTTTACTGCTGAACAGCCTAATACTAACCATAACCTGAACCACCCAAGCTGTTCAGGGGGCTGGTTCTTTTCCTGATCTACAGGAGGGGAGGATCCAGCTGCCCCAGCCGCTGCCCCAGCTGGGGCAAGTAAGAATTGTCAGGTCTGCCCACCAATGAATGACTGTAGGCCTAAAACACATACTGTGTGCTGCACATGTGAGAAATATATCGGCAAGTCCATGCACACACAGTTGTGTACTGCCCTACATGTGCTAATTAGTTGATTCATTTATGTTGTTCACATTTTATTTGTATATTTTATGGTTAATTATTGTTTGTTGTGTTTACACACTTATTGGGGGGTAGCAATGGTTAAAAAATGGGGACATATATATTGTGTTGTTTAATTCCTAATTGTACAGAAAAGAATATATAACTGTTCACTGGTGAAAAAAACCCTGACTGTTATTGGGAGCGCCTCCAATGAAATGCATTCAAAACTACTTTCTGCACATTTCTGCTACTTTCTTAGGCTATACAAGTATTATCTCTTGATAAAAATACTGTTTACCACCTCTGCAGTACCTTAAGAAATTATGATATTAACAATAAACCTCTACTTTAGTAAAGAAGATAATTATGACAGCAGTGTTATAATAAAAACGAGTGGGGTCCACTGAATAAATGCACGTCTTTCTGCACTGTGAAGAGGGAAAACTCAGATATTCACACAGTTTGTGATGAATGGCAGGTTGTTTCTTTATGCAAACTACATTTGGTGTTAAAAATTCAATTAAGCTTCTTTATTTTAGGGGTTTAGTGAAGGCGGGTCATTTTTGAACCGGGAGGACAAGGGGAGTATACAGAATGTGAAGACAACACAAGGGTTAAAAAGAACTTATGGAGAAAATGAATGTCTGTGGAGTATTTAATTAGAAACTAAAAGATGGAGAACATTTCTCTTCAGAATGTGGCAGAAATGGAGAAACACAGCCAAACAAATACAAACCCTAAAAGAAGATTATAGTAAAATAAAAGGATTAAACGCTGCAGTGGAACAAATAGAAAAAGACTGTGAGGTGGTCTGACTCCGCAGCAGGGCCCTGATGGATCCTGAACTTGTATCTCATGTTCACTTAACAAGAATATCAATAACAATGTCACTCACTATATTTAAATGTGACTACCTCTATGGCAACAAAATAAATATATATGTAAATAACGAATTCTTCATAACTGCTCCCTGTTTTCTGTTGGAAGAATTATGTAATTTGGTTTCAGGGAGAACAGAGGAGAGGTTCTGAGACACTTATTTGAGTTTTGTTGAGTTTATATAGCAGTTTCTAATTAAATATAACTTGCAGGAAATATAACTGAACTAAAATATGAAAAATCTAAATAATTTAAACATTTTAAGAATTTTCCTTCATGCAGCTGAAGTTTGGGCAGAAGGGTGCCGACTCTAAAATCCTGGTCCTGGTCAGGGTCCCAAACTGAAACTGAAACTGAAACTGAAACTCGAGTCCTGGCGCAATAAAGAGTTTGTATTATTTTCTACTAATTGATGAAACCAGCTCCAGTTCATTTTGATACCCGTCAACATTAAATCATCAATGACTTGGCTCCACTAAACAGAGAAGATGTGTGATGTGTGTTTTCTATGTTCTTGGTAGAGCAAGTAAATGCCGTGCAGCTCGCAACTCGAACTCAAACACTGCACAGTATTGTTGAATCACACATCTCACTCTTTGTAAGCCACTGAACCTCCGTGCTTTGCCTCAAAGATTTCTCTTTGTGAATATAAAGGACAGTGTTCTGCTTATCTCTGTGGTTTTGTAAATATCTCATAAATTACAGCCGGCCTGTGTCTGTTATCGCTTCATCTGTGTACAGCTTAGACTGTTTCTGTGTTTTCTCACCTTTGTTCGGAGAGGAGACGCTCGGCTTCTTCACAACAGGACATCTCTTCTTCAGCCTGAAGAACACAGAGCTTCTGTTAATCCTCAGTGGTTTCAGGCAACGTCTCAGTTTCACATGGAAAACTTTTCAAGAATAGAATCATCTTAAAAAATATCTGCCTGCACATATAGAGTTTATTCCTCCCCTGGGGGTATTAGTGACACAACTTCTTATTTAAGGTGCTGTTTGTATTATTATCATTTTAATCAATAAATCAAATCAATCATTTTTTGACATTTTAATTGCTGTGAACAGATGAAATACTCTGGCAGTCTGTATTATGTGCTATGACAATACACCTGCTACAAACAGCATCCATACTTAATTGTTGTTCTCTCAATCTGGTTTGTTCTCTCAGTCTGGGTTTGTTCTCTTAGTTCCTGGTTTGTTCTCTCAGTTCCGGGTTTGTTCTCTCAGTCCGGGTTTGTTCTCTCAGTTCCGGGTTTGTTCTCTCAGTCCGGGTTTGTTCTCTCAGTCTGGTTTGTTCTCTCAGCTCTAAGTTTGTATACACTGCTGTAAACCACCGAGGAAAGAAGGAAAGGAGGAAGTCAGGTTGTGTTTCTCTCCTGTTTTTATGGCGACAGTTAAAAGTGCAGCCAGAGCTCGACGCATAAATCAAGACTTTATGGATTCATTCGTCGGCTCGAGGAACGGCAGACTAGACAGAGGAAGAGGAGAATAAATAGACGCTTTCACCAGTAATGAGAGAGAGGGGGAGAAAATGAAGGCTGAGGCCAATGAAGTCTAATGGAGAGAGAAACGTGGAGCTGGAGAGAGAAAACAGAGGACAGTTATTCAGAAATCCATCTCTACAGAAGGTGGATGAATCTGGGAATTCTGTACAGAGGAAAATAAAGATGTATGATTATGACTGCTGATGGAGATTCTGATGAGAGGAGACATCACTCAGTGTGTGTGTGCTGGAACTTTGATGTGTATGAGTATACTTTACATGAATTGAAGACCTTATGGGGACAAAAATCTGTTTCTAGTCTCACATTTCGGGGACTCACCACCATCTAGAGATAAAAAGTAAATCAATGATAAAAGAACTGAGTGAGCACCGAACAAGTCTGTGTGCTTTTCATTCTGAAAGTGAACATTTGACAGTGGGTGCTACTACAAACCCATGCATGGGTTTGTAGTAGCAGAATCAAATTTGTGTATGAATGAGTGTAACAGATGTTTTGAGTCTGTGAGACAAATCAGTAGGTCTACCTAAACCTGAGTAAACAACGGAGCTTTTCTTGATCATTATTATCAAAAGCTGCTTGCTCTCACATTGGCAGTTTGAGTTGCAGAGCGTAGTGTGTTTGTGTAGACCGCAAGGGCTGAACCAAAATGGGACGGTATGGCCTACGCAGGTTTTTCGCTTTGTGTCACCAGCTGTGCCCGCCCTTGCTGTTGCATTGGAAAATCACGGCTCCTGTCGCCTAGCAACCTTGACAACACATGACTTTTTTTCCCCACAAAAAAACTTGAGGTTTTAAGGCCCGTGGTTTTAACAGCTGTACCATTAGCTGTTGAACTGAGCTGAAACCCAATACTTACATTTAATAGTGTAATCCTCAGGCTCTCTGTCAGTGTTGTTTGCTGAGTTATCATTTTCCTTACCGGTGCGCAATGAATCTTGGGATAGGTTGGGCCACAAAAAGACAGATGCATTTTAAGGTGCCCTTGAAATGGGACAGTCTAGTTGCAATCAGTCTTCAGATGCAGCCTCTCAAGGATGCAAACCCTGAACTGGGACACAGCTCAAGCCTGTTGAGTCTGCAGCCATGCTAGCAGCGCTGTGAGCCTATATGTAGGGACAGCGGTGCTAAATGCTAGCTGGATGAGAAGCTAGCTAAATGCTAATGTCAGTGACAATGCTAACATGCAGATATTTAGCTGGTATAATGTTTAACATGTTCACCATAGTAGTTTAGCATGCTAACATTTGCTAATGATTATTAAACAGATGGGAACACCATTAGTTTTGCAGGTATTTGGTCATAAACCAAAGCACTGGACAAATTAAAAGTTTGACCTGAGGTTCAATTTATTCTGAGGAAAGCATGAATGTTGAACAAATTTCATGACATCCAATGGTTGTAGAGACATTTTGCTCAAAACCACAAATATGAACCTTAGTGAGGTGCTAGAAGAAAGTAAGAGTCACTAAAATCAGTAGGATTCATTGACAGGAAACATGAATTTAAGTGCAATCCTCCAAATAGTTTAGTTAGTTTTTAAGACAATGTGAGTCAAATTATTTTAATCCAGTCATCAAGACCACTCCTCACCTACTGCACCTCCTCTAACTGCATACAGAACTGATTCCCCTCTTATAAATCTGAGCCTGAACAATCTAGATTGCTGACATTCAGACTGAACAGCACTCACATTTGTTTTGTGCTCAGTCTGTCATTTATGTACATCCATATAAACACTGGTCCCCACAAGGTCAGAGATTTACTTTATGTCTGTTTGTGTCTGAGAGTACGTGAGAATATCTCAAGAGTCAGGAGGTTTTAAACGCATGAACGCACATGCACACGCACACAAAATACTTGTTAGTAGGAGAAATGCATTGTTGGTTTGGGTCTTTTCAATGGAGAGTTAAAGTAGTGCTTAAACTGCTGCCAAATTAACTGTAATTAGTCGTGGTTCTATTTTGCAAAGTTGTGGCAGTAAAGTCAGGAAGGGACACAAAAACTCCATGATAACATGACCAGCTGTGTTTACTGTGTGTACTCAATATTTTTGACAGATGCCATATAGTGTATAGCTTTGAGTTTTTTATTGATATACACTGCCCATTTTTCTAACATAAAAAAAAATGGAAAAAAAGAAGGTTTAAACAGTGTGAATAAAGTTGACTTCACCGCACCCTCACCTCGCCATCAGTCTGCACAGCTTTGGAACAGGAAGTTCTCCGCTCTGGAGGGGCTGACCTCTGGACTCCTAGCCACGCCCTCACTCGGCCACCATCAAAGCTTAGTGGCTCACCAGCCTGTCTGTCAGGAGTCGAGGACGCCCACTGGTCCCCATTCAACTGTGGCTCCGCCTTTTGGGTCGCTCCTGAGTAGGTGTGGTCGAGCCATGCCAGCCGCTGCACAGAACACAGATCATATAATCTGAAGAGTTCAGTATTCTACATTCAGGTGGTTTATAATGGATCTGCAGAGGATCCAGTCGGTGAATGTTGCTTTTTTTTTTGAAGGATTTCAGCATCATGACGTGGAGATTTATCAACTTCATCAAGTTGGAAATTAGATGTCCTGCACCTTTAAGGATGGTGTTTTATGGATGTTTAGTTTATATTGGTTTTTAGCTGGATCAAGCAACAGCGATACCAGCACTGTAATTGCGAATATCTGTGACTGACTGACTGAGTGATCTTAGTTACCCAGATAAAGACTGTGCACTTTGTGAGAGACAAAATAAGAAAGATATTCTGTGTCGCTTCTAACTCAGAGTGATCATTTTACAAGTAAATATAGCTAAAACCACAGAAGAGTTTTTGTCCTAATAGAAGAATAAACTCAACAAATGTCAAAATAAATGAAATAGCTCAATTACAATAGAAAATTAAGCACAACAAATTCCATTATAAAAATAAACTAAAATACCTAAAAAAAATAAATAAATGCAACAACATGTTCGGCCCAAGGCGACACTATTTTTTTGCAAAACTCAAACTTGTTGAGGCTGGAACTACTTAATCTTAAAGATAAACAAGCACAAATTCAGTATTCCTTTTCATTGTCAGCTGGCTTACATGAGCTCACCATCCAAATGTCAGATTGTCCTTAAAGTTATAACATGTTACTTTTCCACATTACAATGTCTACAAACAACTGGACCTGTGTTCTATATGTTGTTGAGCTGTGTTCTTACATTTTCCCAAATGTTTCCATCAATTCTCAAACCAGAGAAATCTGTGATTTTAATCATGGTAACAGCATGTTTCATTGGTCGCCTGTTAATGACATCATATCCTCTATGATCATGTGTCAGTGTGTTTGTCTGACAGAAGCTCAACATTGACTTTTATCTACTTTTAAATCACATACTCTTTTTTTTTTTTTTTTATCTTGGTGGTTTTCAGCTCTTTATTTGAACCAGATGAAGGATTTTAGTCGTCGGACGTCTGGATCTGAAGTTATCAGAGAAACAAGCTGAGGAAATGTTAGACAGCTCAGCTCCCAGCTGCTGGAGACGTCCTGTCCTGTGTCACTGAAGAGTGCCAGTGACTCTTTTTAAAGTGAAACTACTTTCTGGGTGTTTCTACTGGTTTTAATCCCCTGGTGTGTGTGTTATGAAGAGGAGGACACCTCTGTGGATAATTCAGCTGCTGGTAAAAACCTGCTGATCGTCTGTTTCATAAGTTACAGGGGAATAATAAGAATAAAGGTTAGCATCAATCTCAGCTCCAACTCTTCCCTGAGTCTCTGTCCTCCGTACAGCGTCGCTCAAACACTGACTTTAAATGTCAAACTGCTTCATTCAGTGTTTTTCATGGTTAGAATCACCAGGTCTGTTTGAGAAAACAATCTCACCACAAGCTCCACCTAGCTGTTCTGGAGCTTTTAAATCATAACAAATGATCTTCAGCTGTAGATTAAGTTTTCCCAGTTGTCATGGAATTAGAACATTAAGGATTTCCTATCCATGTTGGCAATCATGTTCAAAAGATTCAGATCAGCGGCTTAAAATGGCGGTGGGGGACACACACACAACTCTGCAGGCACAACTCTTGAGTCGCAGTCAGAATTCATGCGGCATACAAGAGATCACCCGGTCACAGATTTAAAGAAGTAGAACCCTGTCACGTCCTGCGGGCAGACAGCGGGGAGGGTGTGCTGACATCATGAATACAGTAAATAAAATCAGGTTGAGGAAAAAGAGAAGATGCTGTGAGGTGACACAAGTGAACACACTTTGATGTCTTTGTTGGGATGCTGCAGCCATAATCAGATGCTAATTCAGTTTCACGTGTGTCTCAGTTCATCTCTTCCTGTTGAGCTTTGGGGTTCACCGACAGTGCAACAGTGTGTGGGTGTGTGCGAGACATACCAAAATACAGAGATGGGGGATGGGAAGTGGGGCTGCTGCAGGCTAGAAGAGGATGATACTCAAATTACTTCAAAATTTCTAGGACAATTTATGTCCTTCTTTCTGTTTCCCTCTCGATTCATCTTGTTTAGCCTTCATTACCATTTCTCTTCATTTCCATTGCCCTCCTGCAGCTGCTGACATTTCTCCACTCCTGTGTCTCGCCAAAATAAAGCCAAAAAAAGAAACTGATGTACCTGACAACATATAAAGGTGCCACATCCCCCTGGCATCATCAATAAATCAGTAGAGGAGGAGGTGAACTGTTGTAACCGGCTTATAAAACCGACAGCCAGTAACGGAGAACATTTTTAGATAGCTGGTGTATCGGAACATCAATGACTGAGTGTGTGTGACTGACTGTGTGTTTGTATGTCTGTCTGTCTGTGTATGTGAGGGAGAGACAGATGGACAGACCAGGCCTCTGGGCCATGTAGCATCTGGGTCAGAGCAGAACAACAGAGAGAAGAGAGCGAAAATGAATTTAGAAGAAAAACACCACATGGTTTTGTTCTCCTTCAACACATCATTTTGGATGCTGCATTTAAATATCTTAAAATGAGGAGTCAAATGGATCCATCACATGGGAATTCGCACCACTTATCTGCCATATTAAGCAACACTGCTTTAACAAGACCAGGTCAAAACCTAGTCCTAGTACTGTAAAATGATCACTCAGGGAGAAAGATAGAAGCCCATTCACGTCAGTTGCCATGAGGTCAGCATCGAAAGGCGTGTGTCTGTGGCGGGAAACTACGACCTTAACTGCTCGCAGGCAGTAAAGGTCATTCAACACTGTAGGGGACACGCTGTGACTCTTTTCTGCCAGAAGTAGTTAAGGTTTGAAAAACGTTGCTGAAAGTGTCAGTTAATCTCGCAAAACAAAGGTGCTAAGTTTTCAACACTGCCTGTTCGCACCGAATCATTCTGAAAGAATAACGACCAATGGGGAAACTCCAACACTCTGGCTGGCCAACCAATGGTGGAACTTCATCACTCAGTCGGTCAGTGATTTCATGTTTATAGGACTGGTCCCGCTGTTGTGCTCCAGCCAAAAATTACAATGGAAAGGAATGGAAGTCTTAGTAAAGTCTTAGTGAAGACTTATCTTAGTAATAACATAATATAGTGTATTTTTAGTTTTTATAATAACAAAAATAACCAACAAATTCTCATGCATTATGGCACAAGTTGCAGAAAATAAAGCTGTATGAACATAAATTCATCTTAAGGTATGAAAATCATTGGCTATTAAAATACTTGTTTCTGATTGGCTGGCAGGTGTGCATTAAAAGTCTTTATCGGGACAATAATCTGTACTACATTAAATCAGTACTTATGGTCATCTGGGACATGTTAGAGTTTATTTAACCTTCAGTACTCAAACTAACTGATGTTTTAACCTGATTGGATGGAATTTTTGGCCTGTGTGCAACCAGCTAACCTAAGCACTGTAGATCTTGATTCTTTTTCTTTTAACATGTAAATACTGTTACTGTCAACCACTGAGGCTGCTGTAACTCACCAAGTCTGCTTCCTGGTTGGTGATGTCAGACAGAGAGCTGAGGGAACTGAGGTAGCTCCACCTCTTCAGGCCATCTCGTTGACACAGCCCTGCAACACACACACACACACACACACACACACACACACACACACACACACACACACACACACACACACAAAGCTATCATCCATGACAGTACTTTCCTTTAAAAACAACACATTCACTTTAGCCAACACACAGAGCTTTAGTTTTTGTCCTCGTTTAAAGCTTTGAGCAAAAGAAAATTTTGTGCAGTAGCCTGTAAATCTTATTCCACTTTGGAAGAAGCCTGGAGTTGCTTTCAGGCCTTAATGGAGGTCTGAAAAGAAAATTGGTGGTGGCATGTTGGCACAGGCAAACACTGCAGGTCTGTAACCACAAAGAGGTGGACTGTGTGTGTTTTGTTTATTTCTTATTTTGAGGAATTCAGTAGTTGGCCGACTCAGCAGAATCTGTAAACAACTAAAGGGACAGTGGACACAGTCGACCAATCAGAACATGGTAAATTAGATTGTGTCTGGAGCAGACTGCCAGGCTAAATGTCTGCTGCTGGGCGTTAAATGTGGAGCTGGATGTGTGAAGATAAAGTAGCAGCGACAGAGAAACAGCAACATGAAAAGGTTCTCAGGCCCTAGTGGAGAAATGTTTCAAATGCTAAAATGCTAAGACATCTTTTGTTTCCACCTACCTGTGCTCACACTGAAATACGATGAGTCGCCATCATCACAGGAGACTGAATGTCCAATATCAACTGAGGGGTCCCACTCTAACCCCAGGTGCTCATGGGTAGGAGAGGCCGGAGAGGGAGGAGGAGGAGGGTGGTGAGTGGGTGAGGGGAGGTCTGAGGGGAAGGTCAGTTGGGGTTAGCTGATTGGCTGATATCTGGAGAAATGAATGGGACTTGATTGAATTAAATGTTGGTTTACCTTTGGGATGGTTTGAAACTGCAGGGAGGTCCAGGTTAGGTCTATCAAGCGCTCCCTCTTCCTCTAATAGAGTCTCTGAGGGGCAGCCAGAGTCTGTAGCCTGAGACAGAATCCAGTCATCCTCGAACACCTGCAGGAGGAAGAGGAGGAGGAAGAGACTTCAGGAGAAGAAAGAACTGTAAAAGAAAAGCAACATTTCAGGTGGTTGTGTGAGTGCTGTGGAGTGCTTAGGAGGGATAGAGGAACTAGGGCAACAACTAACAGTTATTTCGTATTATGAAATATCTTTTTCTGTCTGAGCAGAAATCAAAGATCCAAATATATTCAACGTACTGCAAGAGAAAATTGTCATGGAAAAGCAGCAAATTATTCTCCTTAAAATTAAGCAAAGCCAAGGCAGAAGTCTATTGTTGGTTTATTGTTTTGTACAATTAAATCATCATGATAAAAGTCATGTAATAATAAAACTAGATTTATTGTGCAGAGGAGGAAGAAGCCAACATGCCTTAAACGTGTAATATGTAAGGTCGTGCTACTTGCTCCACCTACATAGGGGGCAGCATTTCACTTCTTCGCCCCTGTCCAGTTAATAATGTCGTTGTTTTCCACATGTTCCTTATAATTTATTATTTATATTTGCATTTATTGTTGATAGTTAAAATTGTTGATAGCACTGAAACAAATTATGAGTACTTGTAATACAAACAGTATGTTTTTATTTACCTATAAAAATATGAAGGCAAGGGGATACTGCATGACACATGGGTGTCAGGTAGCAGCATAAGGAAGGGATGATGACATCATCACAAAGGCAGAATCAGAAAATAAGGTTTATTTCCAGGTAGGTTTTCACTTACAAGATATTTGGCTTGGTCTTTGGTGCAGTATACAATAAACATATTAACAGGAAATAACAATAAAAAAGGTAAAATACTGACAGTCAAAAAGATAAATATACATAGATACACATATTAAAAAAATAAAACCATGAAAAATACTATGTACAAAAGTGTTGACAAAACTCCTGCTGAGCAGGACGTGCAAAAGATCACAGTATAGACAATATCTGTTATGTGCAGGGATAATACTCCAAGGTGTTACTGTAGTGTGGTTGCTGATTGATGAGGCCAGACGCAGAAGAAAAGGCAGGTGCTGGTCCATCACTGGGGACGACCGGACTGGAATTCTGGTCCTGATACAGACAAACATGTGATAGGACAATTAGTTTAGATCATAGTTCTTTATATTCAAACATGTAAGGTATGTTGTGTGTGTATAATAAATAGTAAGGATAGATATGAATATGCTAAAATAAATACAGTATTAGGCAGTGGATCCTGAACTTGCTGGTTCTGGATCAAACAGTCGCATCTAGCTGAACAACAGCTGCAGGAACAGGCTAAATTCTACTACATCGCTAAAATGTCAACATCATACATTTATGCCACATTAGGTGTTTGTCGGTTTGTCATTTGCACTAATGATACTTTTCACTACAGACCAACATTAGATGTTACTCACCAGTCTTGCAGAAAAGTCTCATCTGTTTACTCGCCCAGCGTTGTCTGCCATGGTGGAAAAACCCACCAGCATTCACCCGAGTTTTGCTTCTTTGCCGTTGAACGTGGTTTCTTGTCGGAGCGGTTCTTCGAGATGGAGATAAAGATCGCTTTCTAGGCACTTCAGACATCTGTGTTTCTGTTGATGGCTTGTCGGCCCACTTTTTTTTTTTTTTTTTTTTTTTTTTTTTTTTTTTTTTTCTGTCGGGAGCCGTAGCATAACTTCAAGCTCAGGAGGAAGCTGTTCTTCTCTGTGTGAGGGCAGACTAGACGCTACTCTGACTCACACAGCATCTAGTGTCATAAAGTGGTATTACAACACGGTCTAGGACACGGCTAGTTGGTTAGCATGCTCATGTTAGTAGATATTCTCTGAAATACAATAGATTGAGGTCTTGGTCATGACATCATCATTGTGGCTCCTTCACATACTATTGATGGTGTTAGTTCATTTTTTGAATATTTTAAACTAAAATTCTGGCCAGATTTGGCCAGATCTTACACATTGTACCTTTAAAGTCTCCACAATACAGATTCTATTAGATTTAATCATAAACATGAGCCACAGTCGAGTCCAGTGCTTGTATCTTAAAGGTCTGTATAGTATTAAGGTAGATGTGCATGTGTTATTTGATTATAAAGCAGGTGTAGGTTCTATATTAATACTGTGGGTTTGTGATATCTTAATTATTTCCAAGGAAGATTGAAAGTATTTGGTACTAGAAATTCCTTGGATCAGTGGTCTGATGGCAAGACTCTAGTTAACGGTAATATTTGGAAGTGTATCACTGCAACGCTGTGTTCGTTTTCCCTCTAATTTGTATCTAAATACATGGTACTTTATAAAATTTAATTGGAATTTATACATGTTGTTACTTGTGTACAGGTGGTGACAGTCAGTGCCATGAAGTTTAAAAAATAAGTCAAAGGTCAGAGGGCATGGTGGAAACAAGTGGAATAAACTCTTTTTCAATACATAAGCTTTAGTAAAATGTTCCATACAGTCTAAAGGTCTCTGTCCATGTGTTGTTTGATTATAAAGCAGGTCTAGGTTCTATATTAATACTGTGAAAGTATCAAAGCCTCAGTCCACAGAGAAATGCACACAGCCTGTATTCAGAAACTGAGCCTTAAAACCAGCCATCAGGACTTCTTGAACTTTGTGATGTCACAACAAAACAGTCACCGCCCTCAGCCATGCCCAAAGCCCCGCCCACCTGGACCCTCACTGCCATTCATTTTGGTTGTTACAGTGTGATTGTGTGTGTGTGTCTGTGTACCAGTCTCATGCTGAGTAGCCGTGTGTGTGTCCGTGCGATGTTGTTGTAGACGTGGCTGCAGTGGCGCAGCAGCTCCAGCAGTCGGCTCTCTATGTGCTGAGCATCAGTCGGCTCGCTGTGTTGGATCAACGCCTCGCCACGCTGCAGGAGGGTGTTCACACGGCCGGAGTTCACACACACACACTGCTGGAAGGACTACACACACACACACACACACACACACACACACACACACACACACACACACACATATACATATACATACAGAAAGTACATATACAGTGCATGAGGTAGGAAGAGTTTAGTTGTATAACACAACATACCTGCAGGCATCTCAGCTTTTCACAGGTGTTTCCAGTCAGGTAATCCACCTCAGTCAGACGGACGTCCAGGTCGGCCAACCAGAGAGAGAGCTCCTCCCTCTCTGCCTCAAACCCCTCCCACTCTGAGACAAAGAGCTGAGAGAGGAAAGAGGGACAGTCCATCCTCAAAACTCTTCCCTTTTTTTTTTAAAGTATTAGTAATGTTTGGAAACACTTTGGTTGATTATTTAAAAGTCAAGTTCTCCCCTTCTTATGTCCAAATTACCGCAGTTACACCACACAAGCTAATTGATAAAAACATCAAAGATTAAATAAGACTAGGTCAAAACCTAGTATATATCTGGACTGCCTGTGACCAAATCCTGATTTTATAACTACAACGTCGTCTGACAAAATTATCAAACACATAAATTAAAGACAAAGACTGAGCTGTGATTTCAGTGGGATTTACTCAAAGAGAAAGTTAAAAGAGAAAGACTGTGTCTTTTTTCTGTTTTAAGTCATCTTAAACAAAAAAAAAATGACACATGGTCCACCAGGTGAGCCACCAGGGCCCTTTCTTATTTCCTTTCTTATATTTCTTATTTAGTCTCTGACACGGAGCACAGCCTCCGTCTGGATGCACAATAGTTGAGTCTTTATTTACTTCAACTCCAGAACATAATAGATTTTTATTACAGGCAGGTCTTAATGTCTAACTCCCTCTGTTTGATATGTAGAGTTGGTCATAGTCGTTAGTACGAAGCCTCGTTACCAATGACTTCTCTCTCTCCCTCCCTCTCTCCTGCTCTCTCTGCTCAGTGTGTCTTATGTTTATTTATTCCTCTGCCTCCTTCAGTAATAATGATACATGTAATGAAAGTAGTTTATTTGTTGTATACCCAATCTGTCTCTAGAGATAATGAGCTAAGTTAGCAACACTGCAGTTGTAAACACCCCCCTAACAGAGTATCATCAGTCAGTCAGTCAGTCAGGGACATTCCAGATTTTTTTTTTTTGGGCTTTTTGTGCCTTTAATGGACAGGACAGTAGAGAGACAGGAAATGGGGATACAGAGAGAGGGGGTCCGAAGCGGGAGGCGAACCGGGGGCCAGCTGCAGTGAGGACTGTAGCCTCTATATATGGGGCGCCTGCGTAACCCACTACGCGACACCCCCAGATTATAGGGCTGGCTGCTGTGCTCAGCAACAACGGGTTGGTGACATATATTAGCAAACACTGTCACTCCACAGAAAGTCTGTCAGAACTCTGTCAGAAATTTTTAAAAATTCAAAGATGAAACAAATGAGCACAGAACAACAACCTCTGCAGAAATTAAAAGTAGACTTAGGGGAAATTACAGGAAGAACTCTGACCTTCAGTCGCACTGTGATGGATTCCAGTTTGGCATTCACGTCATCCCATCGTCGCCCACATTCCCTCGCGGACGCCAACAGCTTAGCCTGAATGGCGCCCAGAAACAGCGGAGTCAGTGCTCGATTCCTCTGGGTCAGACCGTCCAACTGCACGAGCCGAGATCCTGCCTCGCACCGAAGCCGCTGAACACACAAACACAGGTCATATCTGAGGTAATGCACAACAAACATAAACATAATCTAGAACTTCTTTACATACAGCTACATGAAGCAACTCAGGCTTCTTTTGAAGACTTCCTATCCTACAAATCCAGTGTGTTCATGTAAAACAGGTTTTTTTTGTCCATTTGTAAAGAGTTGAAAACATTTGGGCACTTTCTGTAAATAGCCACAGACTCAGTTTTCAAACAATGTGCAACATCCTTCACATTCAAGTGTTGAGCCCCAGTATGAGCCTGTACCAACTGGTTTGACTCAATGATAAACTTTAATCAATGTGCAGTAAAAAGTGAATGTTGCTAACAGTTATTAGCACACAGTCTCATTCTGCCCAGTTTACATATCAAAGTACGACTCTATGCAGACGACTTGATTCTGCAACAAAATTGAGTGTGTGCATTTGTTTTCATAATTTATATCATTAAAAGTGAGAAAAAAAGAGAAGCTCAAAATGATCCAAAGTTAAGACTTTGTATTTCCTTTGATGAGAAACCCAAGTTATTTTAATCCCTTTCATGATGAATTACATGGGTTGAAATATGAGCTCAATTTAAGTTGAACTTTTCCACGAGAAAACAAAGTTTAATGTTTGAATATTTATGTTACATATCTCCTCACCTCAAACTTCCTCAGTTCTTCCTTGGCAGTGATGTAGGTAACGTGGGCTGAGTTATGGGAACTGACAGCCTGTTCCGCCAATTGCAGCCACATATCCAGGTGGGCGTGTTCCTCCATAAATTTGTGCCATAGGACCCACCTCTTCTCCAACCTGGAAATAGACAGGACACACACAGCCTGTGTGATTGTCTCTCAGTTCTAAAGTTGAATGGAGGTCAATTATTGTTATTATTATTTTAATTATTAATTTTTAGAGCATGAACATTTATTCTTTATCTTTTTGAGTCTGGTGTCCAGTTCTCTTGATACATCCATGAAAGACACTCACTGTCCACATTCCTGCAGGTCTCCGTGTTGACTCCAGCTGCCATCCACTCGCTGTGTGTCCCCCCCGCTCAGCTCTAGAGGAGACGAGGTGAGAAGAAATGGAGACTCTGACAGATTCAGAAACAGCTCCATGTTCCTCATTTCCTCTCCAAGCAAAACATCACTTCCCTCAGAGGTGGGGATGATGTCACGATGGCATGCTGACATCACGTCACATTTATCTGCTGAGACACAAGGTTTAGAGGAAGTTAGACTTCGAGATGGTAATTTATAGAAATAATAGACACAATCAGAAGAGAGCAGGCTCTGAGCCTCACTTCTGATTGGCTCACTGACCTGTTGTTTCTAGAGCTCCAGAGAGAAGCCTGAGAGCGATGTAAAACTACACTGAGATGGTTTTTGGTTCTTAAAACCACAAATATATCTTCTAATGGATCATCACTTCAAACAAAACCTTTACGTACATGAACACACATTTGCACATGTGCTGTTCCAACAGGTGTGTTTTTCTATGACGAGGGAGTTGATTTTGTTGAGAATTTGATTCTAGTATCAAACATGGAGTAAAACTGGAATCTTCAGGTCAACATTTTAACAAGAATTCATCCTGTTTGGTGGTTTGGAGCCAAACAGCATGAAGAGACAGACCTCACTGCATCTTTAACACACACACACATACACGCACATTCACAGAGGAGGCAGTGATTCACCATTCTCCTCCTCAAGATCCAACACACACACAGTTATTGCTTATTCATGAGCCTCTCTGGGTCTTTATTGAGGTGGATCCAGAAACGTTCTGAATGACTGGAGAGAGAGAGAGAGAGAGAGAGAGAGAGAGAGAGAGAGAGAGAGAGAGAACATAACACCAAGGACCAGATTTACGTGTATGAAAGGAAGGACACACTTACTCTACACCTTTCATTTAGTCTGCACCCACAATCTGTGTGTATTTATCTCCTGATTTACAGATGCAACAGCTGATTACACAGTCAGGTCCTGTGACTGACATCCAGGCTCATTTTCTGAGCTCGCATCCCGTTCACCTTCCATCCTCACTGAGACACTGATTTTCTAAAACACTCTCCAAAGGAGATAAATCTAAAAACTCTGACCTCTTGTTTCAGTGTGGACCAGGAAAACGGGGATTTTGGAAAACAACTACATAATCCTGATCTTGTGCTGTGAGGCTGTAAAGTTCAGCAGACAACACACTGATGCTTTCTGATCACTCATTCTAACTGTTAATTGCACGAACTTCTGCCTAGTTGTCTCTCAACCAAAACAATAACAAGACAGCGTTGGATGACGTCATGAAATAGCGTGGGATCATGGGAGTTGTTGTCTTCACCACATTACCACAGGCTCCTCCCGGTTTGGATTCCTTCAGTGTGACTGGTTCAGGAAATCAAACAGACCTGGTGATTCCAACTGTTAAAAACTCTGAATGAAGCAGTTTGACATTTAAAGTCAGTGTTTGAGCGACGCTGTACGGAGGACAGAGACTCAGGGAAGAGTTGGAGCTGAGATTGATGCTAACCTTTGTTCTGATTGTTTCTCTGATAACTTATGAACCAGACATTCAGCAGGTTTTTACTTAATTATAATTAAGTAATTATCCACAGAGGTGTCCTCCTGACCAGACACCTCTTTTGGATGACTGTTTTCCTGTGTTTCAGATGTTTCGGTGTGAGTGGCGAACTCACCTAAACATGTGTGGACACACACTCAGTGTTTTCACACAAGTAGGTTTTAAATTCAGCCTGCTTTGTGTGTGAATATAAAATGACACTGCGGGAATGTTGCAGGAAAAACGAATTAATGAAGTGTAACAAGAGGAGACCACCATTCATCTCCACCTGAGACAAACTATGAGTCATAAAAATCAGCATAGATGAATCTGAGCTTATGCAACCATCATTAAAGAGACTGAATTATACAATAAGATGCACAACGTCAGCCTGTTCAGTCAAAGCTCTGAATGGAGCAGGAGAGCTGAGGAAATGGTGTTGATATGTGAACTCTAAAAACTGCCCATGCAATATGGAGACTGATATTCAGTGTGGTGGTGCACAACAAACAGAGTTGAATGAATCTGATGTGTCACTAGAAGACTGACATAAATACAGACAAACACAAAGTGCAAATGTCTCATCAGAAGCGTGCAGCAGTTTTCCTGCAGTGATTTCACACTTCAGTGACCCTCAAGTTCGAGTTTATGAACACAGAACTCCCCCCTCCCTGTGTTGGTTTGATCTTATACAATAGACATATACTGTGTTCACTCATTATTATTGTTTAAGTGTATTTTGAGTTAACTTGGTGGAGTGTAGGGATGCATACGAGTACTTGAGTACTCGTTCCTGTCATTATTCGAGTAGCATTTCACTACTCGTGCACCTGCACACGTGTTGTTTTTGGCTACAATAGTTCAACTCAGTTGGCGTTACGTGCACCATGGCAGCCGTGACCAGGAAAAGTGATGTCTGGAAATAGGAAAGAAAGACAATAACGTGCAGTTCAAGAGATGTGGCGTTAAACTTGCATATCATGTTCTCCGACAGCCAAACAGTAGGCTTGGCCAGGGAGGTCCGTGTCTGACTGAACACAAGCTTAATATTGGTTCCGCTCGTCTTTCCAGTTGGACATGAACTTTCTTTTTTATGGTAAAATTAAATTATAATATATATCTCTATATAGATATATAGATTTAGAGGTAGGTAGAGGTACAGCGGGTCGTCCACTAATTGGAAGGTTGGTCATTTGATCCCCAGCTCCTCCGGTCTGCATTTTGTAGTATCCTTGGGCAAGATACTGAACCCTGAATTGCCCTCAATGTGTCATTGTATGTGTATGTATGGTAGATATGTGTTGGTTAAAGCACTGTGTGAATGGGTGAATGTGGCTTCTATTGTAAAGTGATTCCAAGCAGTTGCCGATTTCCATGTCATTAACTATATATGTCCCCTTCTTCCTTCGTCCAATCATTTATTTCCTGTTCTGTATTTCCTTATCTGTCTCTATTTTCTTAGTCATTCATCACGAACATACTCTCCTTTTGTTCCTTCCTTCTTCCCCGTCTTCCTCTTCTTCCTTTCTCAAATCAGACATTTCATGTCAACTCAGTCACCCATCCAGAGAAACTGTGTGTGTGTGTGTGTGTGTGTGTGTGTGTGTGTGTGTGTGTGTGTGTGTGTGTGTGTGTGTGTGTGTGTGTGTGTGTGCGCGTGTGTGCACCTGAGCACTTCTAACCTCCCAGACTCATAAATCAAGTACTTCCTCCCACCCCATAGGAGGATGATCAGGCCAAGGCCTCATCCTCCAAACTCCCACCTGGGGACTGAGAGAGATAGAGATAGAGATAGAGAGAGAGAGATAGAGAGAGAGAGAGAGAGAGAGAGAGAAAGAGACAGTTTTGTGTTGTGTGTGTGTGTGTGTGTGTGTGTGTGTGTGTGTGTGTGTGTGTGTGTGTGTGTGTGTGTGTGTGTGTGTGTGTGTAGAGTTATGAGGCCAAGGCTTCAGCCCTGGACCACTGAGGGGCCACATACATCCTACTCACTGTCTGCCTCGGTGTGTGTGTGTGCGCCTGTGTGCATCCAAGTGGATTTCATAGTCTGTCTGTGTATTTTGTCAATATCATGCAAACCCCAATTATCAATTACATGATTAATGATCTAATACATAAAATATCACAAAGTTAGCAGAACCCACTTTTACCTGAAGACTTCTCATGATGTCATCAGCAGCTTAAGAACCTAAATGATTGAATTCTTGGTGATGTACTTCTGTTTAAGTTTTAGACCTGGACGGTGAGGACTTGTCACTTCCTTAAAGGTTTTAGGTTTGCGACTAGCATTAGGTTTTTATCATAGTCTGTATATAAAAGATGGACAAAGCCTCTGTGACGTCATCCACAGAAGCTCAGAGTGAGCTGCTCCACCGTCGCTATCTTGGCAGTGCCTGACTCCACCCCTAACTCCCAGTTAATCCCTAAATGGGTAAAGAGGTGGGGCATGGGTGAAGCCAAGACTCAAGTGCTACCGGTTTGTGGCAAGCATACACTCACCCACCTGTCACTCAAAGAGGCCACGCCCTCAATTATGCAGAACTTAAGTCTTAATAAAATGTAAAGAGGTGAGTTAGATAAACAGTTGTCATGAAGGAGGAAATTAGCTCTAGAGACCAAAACTGTTTTTGTACCAGGCTGTAAACATATTTATTTCTGCCGTAAAGTTGGACATTTTAACATGGGAGTCTATGGGGACTGACTCACTGATGGAGCCAGACTCTAGTGGTCATTAGAGGAACTGCAGTTTTTTGCACTTCAGTATTAGCTTCATTTTTCACCCCCATAGGTTGGAGATGGTCTTTATTAGAACAGACCTGCAATTAAAGTTAAAATTAGGGGCCAGGGAAAGTTATCTATCAACGAGGGTATAAAAATACTGATGTGTAAGTGCAGCCGATCTCATTTGTGTTGTTGTTTTTTAGCAACATATTGAGGAAATGTTTAATAGTCCTTTCTGCAAAGTTACAAAATGTTCATACGGAATATATTTGCTGAACATTCACTGAACATTTCACCATAGTATTTGCTAAATAAATATAAATATCCAACTAAAGCATGACTAATGTTTTATTGACTTTTTATTAACTTTTTAACAATTCATTTATAAAGACAGGACATAGGACGTTTTCCTTTTTAACTAACACCAACATCTTTTCAAACCAGCCTTGACCTAAAGATATGCATAGTTCAGAGCACGAACCGTGGGCTACAGAGTCAAAGGCTGCACTTTACCTCCACCCTGACCACCTACATATGATCTCTGTGTGCTGGACGCGTACATCACACTTCATGGACTAGGGCCAATATTGTCAGTGAACATAATCCAAACTGCAATTATGTTTATTCGTATGTATTAAATAAGACCATTAAGTAGTGTTAATGTAATCCTTGGGTGAAAAGGCTGAAGCATCAGTGGCCCAACATCCAGTGTCACAGCTGATAAAGTGAGGAAGAGGACACAGTTATTTATTACAAAGAAAACAATGAAGAAAAAAGAAATGCCTCTTCACTGCTCCTCTCACAATGCAGTGATTAGCCAAGACTTAAACAAACACTCCTCTCCTCCCTGCCCAACAACAGATTACTTCACTCATGGCCTCCACTCACTCACTCACTCACTCACTCACTCACTCACTCACTCACTCACTCACTCAC